GAGAGCCATGTGTGGGCTGTCAGTGACAGTGCTAAGCCTCAAATAAAATCATATTTTCTCAGGGAAGAAGTCTTTCTTTGATCAGGAACGGTGGTTTAAATTTAGACCCAAAATGTCTTGATCTCTGAAATATAAGCAGTTTAATTTCTCATTCTTAAAAATTATGATCTTCAAATGTGAGAAGCCATTCTGTCCAGTGTCAGTGGACATATATGGACATTGTTGTTCTACAGCTCCTGGATTCAGCTGCAGAAATGGCAGGTAGTAAAAATCCATAGAGTCACAGAGCAGAGGTGTTCAGCTGAAGCTGTATCGGTCGTGGATGGAACCTTGAGAAACACGTGCACAGCTCCACAGTCACTCTCAGACATTTTAATCACCCTTCAGATGGGAACACCGATTAAAAAGCTGCTTAACCTGGGAGTAGGCCCTAGAACTATCTCCGCAAATTCACCTATGTATGGCTAAATGCCCAGTGTTTGTTCAATTATCTGCCTATACCCTAGTCTATTTGTTTCCTATGACTACAATGGCAAATTACTACAAAATTGGTCCCTTTGTACAGTGGGCATTCTCTCAATTCAGGGAGAGGCAGGAATCTGAAATCCAGATGTTAACAGGACCATGTGCCCTCTGGGAGATTTAGAGAATCTATTCCTTGTCTCTTCCAACTTCTGATAGGAGCCAGAATTCCAATTTTACATTGTCTTCTCTTCTCCGGCCTGCTTTCAATGGGCCTCGTAAGGCAGAAGGCCTTGAATATGCTCCTCATCCCAAGACATTTACGTAAATTATATCTTGAAAGCTTTTGCCATACAAGATAAATTCGAAGTTTCTGGAAGTTGGGACCTGGAAATCATTTGGAAGATTTTCATTTAGCCTTCTATATGTGTATGTATTCATTTGACTGCTGTGGTCCATTTAAATCTTTTTCCGCTTCACTTCAACTACCAGTCCATGGCCACAGCATGGTGGAGAACCTTTTTGATAGTGTTAAACTATAAACCCTGCCCTCCTAGGGTTGCACGCAGCAACTTATCTGTAGCTATATATATTATTAGCTCATCTCCTATTGCTATAGATAACTACCTGCAGCTGAATGCTTTATTAATGAGAGGTTTGCTTAGCTACTGTGTTGAAGGTTCAAAGTCCAAAATCGGTTGGCTCCATTGATTTTGGTCTATAGTGAGTCCTCACAGAATAGCAGATGGCATCATTGTGGAAGCATCTAGAAAGGGAGATACTGCATTGCCAAACAAAACCTGATGGAGGGAGGGACCAGCCTTGCTCGCCATTTGTTACTCATTCTTGGTGGGAACGAACCAGGGTCCTTCAAGAACTATGGCTCATCTTCCCAAGAGCCGTACCGTTTCATTAGGCCCTCTTTGTTAAAGACTCCACCAGCTTTCAGTACCACCGTGTTGGGGAGCAAGCTTGCTACATGGGAACCTCCATGTCTCCAAACTGAACCGTAAACCACACCTCCAGTTTCAGCTGTTTGCATGGCAAGTACCTTCAGTCATAAGTGGACTGAGTGTAGGATCTTTGCAACCAACTCATTCTCACCAACAAAGACGTCTCTGGCAAGTGGCCTAATGATAACTACTTTTGTTTAAGCACATCTTTTAAAAATTGAATACTCATCTGCATAGATTTCAAAAACTTCTTGTGCTAAAACATTCTTCTGTTCTATTTTCCATGAACGTTTTCAAGTACCCTCACATTGCATTGCCAGCATTTTCAGAGGCAACGGCCCCATTGTCTTCTCACAGGAGGCTTTGCTAACGCTGGGCATATACAATGCTGGAAAGTTTGATCACAGTTAATATTAAACATGAAACATGGCACTTTTGAGTCCAAGGTTGTACAAAAGTTATTGGACCTTGAGAAAAATGAATTCATATAGAGCCTCATTTTTCTCATCTGTGTAAGGAAACATTTATTCACTTTGAAATTGTTTCATTTGTTCCCTTACCATTAGCAAGGAGAAAAGAACATACTCCAGTGTAGTTACACTTTTAGGGGAAAAAAATGGCAGGAAAGTTTAAAATCTTGGAAATAAAAGCCCCACTGAAGTCTGAGATGCTGACTGCTTACTGGCATTAGCCTGTGCTCCTGGGAAGCCTCTCTGGTAATACTGTGAGAGTCATGTGTGGACGGAAGAAGCTGGGAGACCCAGAAATAGGGCAGGGCTGCCCACAGCACCCTCCACTCTTGAACCCTCCCAAATAAATGCCTTTATCTTCTTGCCAGGTTTCTGTTTCTTCTAACCAACTGGATTATTCTATAGAACCAAAACTTACCTAAACTACACCATCCAACTTCCTGCTTCTGGCTTGGAAAAGCAGTGGAGGATGGCCAAAGTCTTGGGACTCTACACCTTCATGGCAGACCTAGAAGAAGCTCTTGACTCCTGGTTTTGGTCTGGCACAGCTTTGGCCATTGTGGCCATTTGGGAATTGAACCAGCAGACAGAAGATCTTCTCTCCACAGATCTGATCTGCCTTTCCAATAAAAGTAAACCTTTTTTTTTAAAATTAGGTATTAAATAAGTGGAAGTTAGCATGAATCTTACCTTATCAAATTTATGTGAAGAAATAACAAATATCCTCTCCTGTTAGGATTAATTTATTTGAAAGGTACAGAGAGATCTTCCATCCATCTACTGGCTCACTCCCCAAATGGCTACAACAGCCAAAGCTGCATTGGTTCAAATCTGTGAGCCAGGAGCTTCATCTTGGCCCCCTGCTTGTGTGCAGGAGCCCGAGAACTTGGGCCATCTGCTGATAAACAGTTACATTAGCAGGGATCTGGATTGGAAGTGGAGCCATGGCGGTCTCACACTGGCACTCAAACTGTACGACAGTACCACAGGTGGAAGCTTCATCTGCTACTATGCTGTTAGCCCCATGTCATATCTGCTTGAATGTAACAGTGGAATGAAGTTGAAATGGTAGGGCAGATGAAGGCCATGGTGTCCAGCCAGCTACTAGACAAGGCCAGAGGCTCTGGTGTCCAACCCTACATGGAAAGGTGTGATGAATGTTGGACTGCAGTTGAATCCAGGGAATTCAGGTTTTATTTGGGTTCAGTGAAGAAAAGCTTAGCCTGTATGAAGGTATATGCGATGGATACATTAAGTGTCTTCCTTCACTAAGGCAACAAATGAAACATAAAATACTACAATGAATCATTTCTTTGTAATGTTATCATTGAAAAAAACACAGGATAATATCCAATTTTTGGATTTGACATTTTGTATTATATACTCAGAATCGTAACCTGTGAGATGGCAAATCTGTTGCAGTTTACAAGGTAGTTTGACATATTTGTTATGAAGTATATCTTGCTGAGGAAGGTAGCAAGTTTTTAAATTTTAAAACTACAGTTTTTAAAAGTTATTCCCAAGGGCACAAGAAAATGGAAAAAAATATTTGGGAGAATTGGAACATATTTTTTAAAAATTAGGCCTTTAGATATCATTCTCAATGGCCCATTTTCATGAAGAGATTTTTTCTTTGCTGCATTGTGAATGACTCTGGGCAGTGTTGAGTTTGCTAGTACGTAAAGAACCTTAAATGACCCCTGTCCTCTCAATTGCAGTTTCCTAGCCCGGGTATTACTTGTTGGGTTCACAATGGCTCATCCAAGTAATAGAATCCATTTAAAAGGCATTTATCCAGCAGCTTCTCCAGAATCTTGAGTTAGATTTCTACTGTCTTTGTGCTTCCAAGAGTGTTCAGCTTGAAGAGAGATAAACTGTATCACAGGTTGTTGTGGCACTTCAATAAATTTTAAGTTCTTTCAAAAGGAGGATCCAATTGTAGCATGGTCTTGGTGCCTCCATTTATCCTTTATGTTACTTTATTGTTCCATCATTTCTGTTTAAGGGCACATCCTTTTCCATTTCCCAATAAGAAGGAAAAGTATCCTAATGTTTAGTAGCTACCATAATTCAGTTAAATTGACAATGACAGCCACCCTGGAACACTCCCATAGTATCTCTCATGATCATGGCTACAGAATCACATAGTGAGTCTTAAATAACATAAAATCCGTAACTTCAATGCATTCAGACTAAATTTGGATGTGCTTTGCTGGAAAGGGAATTAGCTGTTGGTTAACAGTCCACTTACACAAGTGTGGACATTGGGCAAAATATGGTATACAGAGGATGGGAAGGTGGGGAGCTAGGCCTCTGTCAGCTGTGTTCCCTGCACCTGCCTTTCCTCCTGCAGTGCTGAAGGGGCTGGTAGATAACTGACCCTCCTTTTTCCTCTCAAAGGAAATAAAGACTACACCTTGAGCCCCCTGGCAGCTCCAAGTCCTGCTTGGAGTAAGAATGCTTCAGTACCATTCATAGGTTGTTAGACACATAGATATTCTTTTGTTCAATGTCATTGGCTGTTGTATTTTAGAAATGCATTTGTGTTTTCTTTGTGATGGCTTATTCAAAGAGGTGTGGAGTTGGGGAGCTATTGTAGTACAACTTGATTGCAGCTACTTTATGTGTAGTGTCAGGATGAAGGCAGCCATCCTAGGCAGCCATGCCTGCTTTTAGCAAGGCCCTCAAGCTTTCCATCTTTGCTACCTCCAGCACACACCAGTATGTTACTTAACAGCATGGCAGCACTGATGTTACAACAGTGAAGTCTGTTTAACTTGCTGGTGTGAAAACTTTAAAACTTCTCAAATGTTTTTCCATATCTTCCTTCAGTCTCCTGTCATATTTTACCGATTAATTTGTCATGAAAACAACATTTATTCCATTACTTTAAAGTCTGTTTTATAAAACACTGGTCAACTTAGCTTCATCTGCCTCCCCTTTCTGGAGGCAGCACGGTCACTGATCGACATCTCCAAGCCCAGCTTGCTGAGATGCTCAGGCTCTGAAGGAGTTGCTGCTGACTCATGCAGGTGGCTTGAGTTTGGGTTCTTCGCTCAACAGAGAATGGAAAGCAGAATAAGAAGAGTAATTTGGTCTTTTTTTCTCTTTACAGGCTCTGTACAATTCAATCAAGAACGAGAAGCTTGAATGGGCCGTGTAAGTATGCTTGATATCAACTTCTTGAATATGAACTACTTATTCTCTTCATACTGCCTTCCTTTGTGCCTTGGTGATGTCACGGAAGGATTAAATACGCATTGCCAGTAGACATTTTATCTACTCTGTATGAAACTTACGTAAACTCAGATTATCCTGGACTATTCTGTCCTTTCATCAGGTTGTGGAATCTGTAGGCAATTAGTTAATATGTATTTAAAAGTAGCATTTGAGAGAAAGTCTGCTGGTAAAATTACATATATTCCAAGTATATTGTAAATTATTTGATCAGGGTTTAATAGTTCTGCTTCCCATAGTACCAATAGTTCTAGGATACTGTCAACGTAAGTACAGAAAGAAATAATGTTCTGTAGCTGATAAACCTGAGAAATGATAGAATAAATTGTTTGAGCCTTCAGCGTTTTTACGAATGATACAACGCCATTGTAATTGTGAGTCTTTCACAGTGGAATAATTTGTTGTGTTTGTTGGGTCTGTTGGACAGTAAGATACAGTTTTTGTGGGAAATAACATTACAGGTAAATTACCCCTAACTGTGGAAACCACAGTATGAGTTTAGTAACTGGGTATATTCATAGAAAACACTGGAATGAGTAAGATGTCATCCTGATCAGTTATGCTGTTCTCATGGCTGTAGGGTCATAGATTGTTCTCTACATGAGGGAGTCAAATTTCAAGTTCTTATTAGTGCATCTGCATGCAAGACGTTATCTGTATTTAATATTCTGTCTTGTTATATGTGCCATGCGGTTCTAAGGGCAGAATGCCATTTCAAGGAAAATCCTGTGTGCTCAGAGTGCATGATCTAAAATTCAAATAATTTTTATTTACCTAGAACAATTGTGTGAATGATGTATACTTACAATCTTACTGAAAGGCATATGCAATCTTATGCAGAATATTGCATTTTAGAGAAAATTAAGATGAAATGTTTATAAATATATGGAAAATGCTCAAACACCATTAGCCATTGGGGAAAGGTGTATCAAAATCAGAATTTTTACTCTTGTCAGCAGGGCGGAAATTGCAAACACAAAGGGGAACACTCTGACACGCACTGTTGGTGGGATTGTAAGTTAGTGCAACCACTATGGAAAACCGTAGGGAGATTTCTTAAAAAGCAAAACATCAGCTTGCCCTGTGATCCAGCAATCCCACTACTAAAATACCCCCAAGTCATAACGACATTGTTATCAGAAAGATACCTACATCACCAGGTTTATATCAGGACTGTTCACAGTAGCCAATGCTTTCAACCAACCAAGGTGTCCATCATGGAGTATTTGCCTTTCAGCAAATACATTTTTAAATGAATATCAAGTCTGTTTTTGAAATAGTTCAAATGCTAACGTTGGCCAAGCACAATTGGTAAAAAAGGTGAGCTGCTGAAACTTATTGACCAAAACATTTGATTTGCATTCCTGTAATGGGGAGAAGAGAAGAACAAAATGTTTCATTGGAGAGTGAAATTTGTCCTCCCGTGCTGGCTGCTTGTTCCCCAGGTGTGTGGCCTGCTGTGGGCACTGCCAGGATGTCTTTGAATGTAGCTGGTGTATGTTAGGCATGAGGGCACAGGGATCCTTGTCCTTACAAAAGAAGCCAGTGTGGGGGTCTCACTTGCCTCCTTAAGGACCTCTACACTTTTGATTACTGTTGTTGTGGAAAAGCACTGAGGAGTTGCAAACAATCTCCTTCCCCTGGGATAATGACCTGCAGCGTCCCCTGCTGCCTTCCCACCTTCTCTGGGTCACAGGTGCATTGTGCATTGGCCTTGCTTAACCCTTTGCTCATTTGTTCTTTGCATAAACCTTTCACAGCTTTCCACCACCTCCAGCTGAATTTGTAACCAGATAGCCTTAAAAGCTTAGCTTTAAGTGAAAGGACTTCCTGCCTGCCCTCACTGTCTGAGTGATCCTCGTTAAGGGGGCGGGGTTGGCATGGTGGGTGTGGACTAGGATCTTTGTGTCCTGGTCCTATTGTCATGGCCCTGATTACTAGAGAATGTGGTGTTAAATACCAGCATTTCCTTGCCTGCCTCCTTTACCTTCCCCTTCTGTGAACTTTAATTATGGCTGGTTTTTCCAGGGGGAAACCCCTCCCTGTTTATTAACTAATTTGCTGAAATTCCTAATAAAACTTTACAAGGATTTCTTCTTACTTCTTCATCATTATGATTAGCGCTCTCTGACTGTGTGAGCATGTGTGTTTATGTGTATTAGAGGAATACTGGGAGAGGCTACAGGGCAACTAATTATTTTATTACAGACACTTTAATTCTTTATCCAATTCAAGGATCTAGATCCAAAATTGATAACGGTTTAAAAACCTCCTGCCTCCTGACCCCCCCAAAAAAAATCCACTGGAAGCACTCACCTTACACACAGCAGGCCCATAAAGGAAGTTACTTTGCAGTATACAGAGTAAGGAATCAGGCAGTTAATGCTCAATTTCCAGATTCCCCAATGGATTAAGGATATGAAATCTTCCAGAATAAAGCTGGAGTTCACACATAGTAAGCAGCTCATGTATGGGTCTCTGGTCACTGGTACATGTGGCCTTCCTTTGGTCAGTGATGGGAGACCTTGTCCTGAAAATGCGGTAATGGCAAAGTGGGCTCCACTCAACTGTAGATACACAGTCATTGCAGTTGCTGTGAAGCCTCTCAAAATAGTGTCTAACATCAGGATGTTAACTCCGGAGGTGATCGTGAGGTTCTGAATCTTGTGACGTGAGTGGTAGGGCCTCCCGAGTCCTGTGGACATCCTTCGTTTAATGCGCTGACCTTTAGTGAAGTATCGACTTGGAATCATCCAAGTGAAGGATGTAGGAGGTCAAGAGGCAGGAGTGTAGGGCCTGATCGAGTCTGTGCAGACATTTAGTAAGAATTGCAGCTGCGTTTGGTAACCTCTTCCAGGTCTCCTGTGTGAGTGCAGGGTCTCAAGGCTTTGGGCCATCCTCGGCTGCTTTTCCAGGTCACTAGGTGGGAGCCGGAAGGGAAGTGGAGTAGCCGGGATACAAATCGATGCCCAGCACATGCAGGCAAGGGCTTTAGACACTAGGTTCCTATGCAGGGCTCACGTATGTATATACTTAAAAGATGAGAAAAGTTTAACCACGGTACTATCTGTATTTACCCATTGGTACGTCGCAATATGATGGACTACACCACTACCTGGAACCCCAGCATCCCATGTCAGAATGCCCATTTGAGTCTTGGCTCTTCTGCTTCTGATACAGCTTCCTGGTGATGTGCCTGGGAAGGCAGTGGGCGATGGACTAGTCTCTTGGGCCACCGCTACACACACGGTAGTCCCAGATGAAGTACCAGGTTCCTGGCTTCAGCCTGGCTGTGTAACATTTGGGGAGTAAACGTGAAAATGGATGCACGCTCTCACTGTCTCACTGTTTCTCTTTTCCTTCTTTCTCTTTCCCCTTTCCCCCATCTTTTCTCTCTGTCATTGTCACATTGCCTTTGTAATAAATTAAATCTTTTGGAAACACTCTAGCTTGACCCTAATGCTCCTCAAAACTGTTCTTAAACTGTCTTGAGACCTGCAGTTAAGTTTTTCTTAATTTGGGAAGCATGCTACATTAATTGTACATTCAGTCACGTCTTTAATTTGGAAAGCCAGTTCACTAGCCCACATCATCCTCGCTTGTGGGTTGCTATAATATACATAGATATATAAAGGGCTAGAGGCACAGCTTAACATTTTTAATAAAAGCATAATCTTGGTTTTACTTTTAAGATGCATGTGCCAAAATAGGCTATTTTTAGCAAATAAACTTTCATATTTTCAGTCGATTCTGAAATTTAGCTGCATGCTTTTATTTTTGGTAGGTGACAAAGATCCATTTAAAACTCATCCTGCCTCTTGGCATAATACAATATGATATACTAGAAACACCATAATAAGTCAGCACATTTTTTTCATACATTTATTTTTCCAACTTAATGTTCTGCTCCTGCATTCTGCCACCATGCTTGCTTAGTTTTATTAAGGTAGAATTTGTATAATGTAAAGTTCACCTATTGAAATAGACAGTTCTAGGGCTCTTTCTGAATTTACCCAGTTGTTCTCATACCACCACAGTCCATCACCGCATTCCAGGCACCGGGAGGTTTCTTGTGCTTGTAATTAAACACGTTTTAGCCTTTTCCAACCTCTGTGATCCTGCACTGCTGTGATCCTTAAAATATATTATTCATGAATAAGTGGATCGTATCTGTTCAAGCCAGAATCTGCTGCCTGACTCATATCTCATGACATCCAAGTGGTGGCTTCACACGGCCAATACCAACTTGAAAATAAAGACCCTTATTAAGGCAATAGTAAATGAATCTTCAGGAGCAATGAACAAATCTTACTGTCTGCATACCTGACAATGTAGCAGCAAAATAGAAGAGGCCAGAACTGCAAAGAAAAGTGGATAAACTCACCGATGGAGACTTTAAAACCTCTCTAGTGAACGGACAACACAGCAGACACAGCCATCAATCAGCTGGATGGAATGGACTTCTATGGGCAGAGCTGTCCAAAAATAATCCTTTTCCCAAGGTCACATGAAACTTTCATATTCAAGGTCATAAAATGCATCCTAACGAAAGCAAAAAAAAAATAGCATACAACACTTGTACATATGCTCAGAGCCCAAGAGATGTAAATTAGAAACCAATAATAGAAAGCCAGAAAATCCTGTTAATTAACATATAGGTTAAAAAAAAGATTCTGCAGAGAAAACCTAAAATATTTTAAATGAAAAATGAAATTACAGCTTATAATTTGTCAGAGGCAGTGAAAGCTCTCCCTCATAGCATTTAGTGTCAGAAGAGAAAAGCTCAAGTCAGTAAACTACCGCTACTTCCTTTGGAAGCTGGAAAATGAAAAACAGTCTAAATCCAAAGCAAGCAAAAGAAAAAATGAAAATTTGGGCCGAAATCAATGAAATGGAAAATGGTGAATTAAAAGCATTACTCAACAAAATGATTCTGGTCAAAATGGTAAATTGTATATATGTTTTACCACAATTGGGAAAGAAAAGTGAAAACACACATAAATATCAATCTGGAAATACTCTCCTCTTTTGGAGGGGGGCTTCATGAACTTGACCTTGAGTGTCCATTCCCAGTGCCACATCTCATAATTGATAATTTCCATTGGCTTTATCTTGAATTATACTCCAACTCTTCCATGGGAAATCTCCACGACTTACCACCCTCTTCTCCCCCACGCACCATGTATACATGTAAAATCCCACTCCGTCACTTTGTATTTGATTTGATTTGAATGGTTGAATTGCGCATGACTACGGCCTTTTTAGATAACTTTCATGTTTGGTGTAGAGCTGGGTAGAGCCAAAATCTACTGATACTTAGCCAAATGAGGTATTTGAAAATCTGGACTGTTAGCAGGGCTCACTTCTCGTGAATTTTAGGAAGTTAATTTTCCTATTCTTCCTGGAATTCCAATAAAATGTGAGATGATGGTGGATTTTTAAAAAATAACATCACCAGTGAGTGAGGCGATGCTTAGGATTCCCTCATCTTATATCAGTGTCCGGATTCAGGTTCTGGATCTGTTTCCAATTCCAGTTCTCTGTTCCTGGACATCTTGGGAGGCAGCAAGTACTGTTTCAGCTAATTGGGTACCTGTTTCCCTGTGGGAGATGTGAATGGATTCCCAGCTCCTGCCTTGCTGGAAATCAGGGAAGTAAACCAAGAGCTGGAAAATGTCCCTTGACCTTTCAAGTAAAGCACCTAGATACATAAAATTTTAAAAAGAATCACCTATTATAAGTAGTGTGGACCTTGAGAAATCTGCAATTTGTTGTTGTTTCTAAGATGCAACAGAGAAACAGAGGGCTTCTCTGCTGCCAACTAGAGGGTTTTTTGTTTTTTTTTGTTTTTTTTTTTTTGGCCTCCTGAAATGGGCTGCACTGCCCTGGCACGAAGCTTGCCCCATTGTGTTACAATTGCCTTCAGCATCTGTACAGCTTTGTAGCCTAGGAGCTATAGGCTGTGTCATTAGGACTACTTGTGTATTAGGCTACACCGTTGTGTAATTATATACCATGTTTGCACAGCAATGGAATCACCTAAGAATGTTTCTGAAAACATCCATTTGAAGGGATGCGAGACTCTTGAGATGGAAAGACAGCTAGCACCAGGTGGTACCAAGGTGCATCTGGTGGGTTTTTATTCTTCAGAGCCTGTCAAGGTCATTTTGTTAACTGTCACAGTATCAGAAGTGCATCAGGGCTGAATATTCTGAACCCTCACTTTTCAAGGCTTTCCTCTGTCATTCTCTTGAACATATTTTTGCAGTTACCATTTTCTGGGTAGTGTATTTTGGTTTTAATACCCAAATACCTCAGGATAGCTGAACCTCTGTAACAGCTTTATCCAAAAGAAATGTAATGAATGCCACATATGCAATGTAAAATTTGAGTAACCACATGAAAAAAAAAAGCACTTTGCAATGTGTTTTATTTCATCCTATAAACCCAAACTACTAATGCAGTATGTAGCAGGTTAAATGGTTCCTGAAATATTTTATTTTTCTGAGTTTTTTTTTTTAATTTAGTGTATTTTTTCTAAACTATCCCACATCTCAGTTTAGTCACATTTCAAGTTCTCAATGGCAGCTCTCACTCTGGAGAAAAGATTACAAACTTTTTTTGACTGCTATTTATACTGAGAAAATTGAAATTTTCATTCCTGAAACTGGACAAGATATTAAGCAAGACAAAGTTCAGTTGTAAAAGTCTGAGATGACCTACATTTGTAATTAGAATGTCACTTAAGCAACTTCACTTTGAAAAGTGTGCTGTAAGCTAATGTTGTTGAACTAGTGTGTTGTTGGTATACAAATGATATATAGATGCAAATAAAGTGTTTGTTCAGTCATGTTGTAGCAGGTTTAAGTATCACCTACAATGCTGACATTCTATATTGATGCCAGTTAATGTCCTGGCTCCTCCACTGTCAATCCAGCCCCATGCCAACAGTCTGGGAAAGCTGTGGAAGATGACCCAAGTACTTAGACCCCTCTCACCCATGTAGGAGACCTGGAAGAAGCTCCTGGCCCCTGGCTTTGGTGTGATTTAGCCCTGTCCATTGCAGGGAGTGAGCCAACACATAGATGTCTCTTCTCATCTATTCTCATCTGTCTCTGTCTCCATCTCTGTCTCTAACGCTACATTTCAAATAAATCTTTTAAAAATTATGATTATGTTAAGCACTTTATGTCTTATGTTATCTCAGTGTAGGTATTTTTGATAATGCTCTAGCTACATTTCAGGAATTTGTGATTAATATGTAACATACTGTTATGCCCTTTTCTCCTTTTTAGTAGTAGCAGCTAGAGTCTCACAGCATAGTATAGCCATAACATCTGATTTTCAGGAATTGATTAATTGGATTAAGTGGTAGGCACTTTTGGTTCCAACTCTGCAGTGCTGAACTGTGGAGTTTCTTCATAATACTTCTCGATTCTGCAGAATTGGCTGTGTAAAGGATCATTTCAGAAAAACAAAGCTCCCATTGGCTTGTTCACTCCCCAAACCCCCGGAACCAGGGACTCAATCTCCCATGTGGGTTGCAGAGACCCAACACTTGAGCTTGTCACCTGCTCCCTGCCAGAGAGCACACCAGCAGGGAGTGCTGGGACTGGAGCCCAGACACTTCCACGTGTGAAACGGGAATTCCAACAGGCATGTTAATCACTATGCTGATAATAACCACTTTGCTTACAATCTGTAAATATGTATTTCAAATTGCTTTCAACTTGAAAATACAAAATTTGTTGCATATATGCTGTATGCATTTACAGATTAGCATACTGGTTTCTGGTATTCACCTAAGAATAATTTTTATTGATACTCGGGATACCCTGAATTCACAAATAAACTATTTAGAATGAAAAAAAAAAAGATTTAATATTTGTGGCAACTGTATGAGTCGGGATTTCCACAATATAATCATCCAAAGTGCAGAAGTAAACAAAATGCTAAAGCTGACTGTTACTGGAATGCACAATCCAAGATTTTTAACTTGGATTTGTTCTATCTATCCCGCTTTTCTCACTGACATAGCTTATAAATACTATTCAGTGGTATAGTTAAAGATTTTAATTACCTATCTGAAAGGCAGTTACACAGAGGGAGGAGGAGATGGGTCAATTTTGTATTCACACTTTCATTCTCCAAATGGCTGCAGCAGCTGGGGATGGAGCAAGACCAAGCTGGGCTCCAGGAACTCCACCCAGGTTTGCTATGTGAGCCCAACACCTGGACCATCTTCTGCTAATTTTCAGGAGCATTATCAGGAAGATGGATCTGAGGAGCAGCTATAATGCAGACCCATTTCCCATAGCAAGTGCCCCTGTGCCACAAAGCCCACCGCCGATATACAACAGATTTATATAAGAAAGATGCTACGTTATCAACTACAGATATTGGGGCTTGGTTTGGTTCGTTTCTTCCAAGAAAGATACGAATCTGGTAAAAACAAGTTTAAAACAGTGGCTGTTATTACCCTGGCCAGTGTTGTAGAACATCCCCTCTCTTTTATTCTGGTAGCTTTCTGATTTCAAGTCTTTCATTTTATCCATAATAAACTGCCAGTCTTCCAAATCTGTGGATTTTACATGGATCTAAATTGAGAATCAAAAACCACCAGAAGAAATATCACATCTGTACAAAATATGTACAGAATTCCTGTCTTACCATTATTCCCTAAATGGTACAGTATAGGTAATATTTACATAGTATTTACATTGCATTAAAAATGGTGATTCAGAGAAGATTTGAAGTATATGGGAATATATACATAGGGTTTATGTTTAAAGTATAATATTTCCTATGACATGCTTGTAGAACAAATCTTTAGTGAATCCCTATGGATAATGCAGTTTTGAAATACGGTAATGAGTTCTAGATTTTTTTGTCTTTTCCAGGTCTTCTCTGTTTACATAAGAATTTTATAACTTTTTCCTATTCCCATAAAAAAAATGACATAGGATTTTGGTAGGGAATAGTGGAGGCTCAACCTCTTAAGTCTCAGCTAATTTAGAAACTTTTTGAATGCCACTGGAGACTTCTTCTCCAGTCACTGTCCTCATCAAACATTTTGTATGATTGATTTTGTAGCTCATTTAAAAAATATTTTGGCATGGTAGTTTCAAAGTTTAATCAACAGTGAAACTAGAAGTCATTCAGGCAATTGAAACATCTGAGCTAAGTTAAATGCTTTCATCATACTTTGATGAGCAATATTTAGATCTTGCAGACATCTCACAGTTCTTCCTCGCTACTGAGCATGGTCATTTATGCTGTCTCCTTGCTTAACGTACATGATCATCTCAGAATTAAATCGGTTGTGCTTGAAGGAACAAGGATTCCGAAGAGGGAGCTTGGGCACTTGGGGATCGCCTCAGTGGCTAGTCGGGTGCTGCTCAGGTTTACTGTTGGGGAAGAGCGTGTGGGATGCCAGAGCTGGGAGTCTGCCAGTCTCCTCCTCATCCAGCAGTAGGTTCACCTTGGGTTTTCACGTTAGAGATCTGTCTGCTCTCTGGCAGATACAGGTCAATGTTACTCATTCGGCTCAGTGTCATACATTTTTTTTTTTTTTGTATTTTTCAACCAATTGCTATGCTAGTGTCTGCAGAAATATAAAACTTACGGTCATGCTCCCTGCCCACCAACATTCAACTTCCTTGTTTTGCAAGAAGAGGAGTGTGAAGGTTTTGTGGTGGGAGGCATTGTAGAGTTCATGATCAGACCTTCACTGTCTCTAAATTACCAAATCTGTGGCCTTGGTAAGTTATTTACAGTACAGGATTCATAGGAGACAGTAAACCAATGGAGGCTGTTAGCACAGTGGCTCCTGTCACGATAGATAGGCTTTTAGAAGAAAAGCTGAAGTATTATGGGATGTGTGGGACTCAGTCTTTTTGTCTTTCTCTCAGAGATGATGAAGAGAAAAAAAAGTCTCCCTCGGAAGGCAGTGATGAGAAGGCTAATGGAACGCACCCCAAAACCATCAGCCGCATTGGCAGCACCACCAACCCGTTTCTGGACATTCCTCATGACCCCAATGCTTCTGTGTACAAGAGCGGGTTCTTGGCCCGGAAAATCCACGCAGATATGGATGGGAAGAAGAGTAAGCATCGTTTTTCTCATTCTCTATTTATTTCATCTTTATACTCAAAGTTTGAAGTGAAGTTATCTGACATAAAGTCAGGACTAGAGGAAACTGGGTTACTTCATGGAGAGAACCACTGTTGGAGTTAGATTAAAGCTTCTAAGCCTGAACCAGAACTCTGTCCTGGCCCTGAGTCTTCTCTAAGCAGAATTACACAACTTTAGAAATGGGACAGAATTGCAAGCTATTCACCTTCAATCTCTAACAGACTTGTTTATCCATGACTTGAGCGAATAATACCGAATACCTGCTGTGTCCTAGGCTCCAAAGACACCGACAGGTAACAGAACGAACAGGGTCCCTGTGTTCATGGTACTTACATTGCAGGAGCTTTAGAAAAGCACACTTACAGCACAAAGGTGAATGATAATGTAAGGTGATGTCTGATGCTTAATGAGATGCATAGGTAGGGTGTGGGGGAGCAAAGCATTGAAATATTCGGGATTTGAAGTACAGCCCCTGGTTGCTCTGAGAAACAAAACGATTCCTTCTGAAAGATGATGACGTTTGGGAGGAATGCAGTATGTTTGTATGATTAGAATAATCTTTGCAGAGTGTGAAACAGTAATTCTATGGGGTTGAACAAGCTAAAGTACCTGGTATGTATGCTCAAAATTTGTGGGTTGGGTCTGGTGAAGTAGCCTGGCGGTTAAAGTCCTCACCTTCCATACGCCGGGATCCCATGTGGATGCTGGTTCATGTCCCGACTGCCCCGCTTGCCATCCAGCTCCCTGCTGCTGGTCTGGAAAAGATGAAAACATATGAAATGGAAAATATATGGAAATAATCCAGCAATCAGACTGCGTGATCAAAGGAGAGTTTTGTTTTAGCAGTAACCTCCATGCTGTCTTCCACAATAAAAATGCTAATTTGTAGTTTCACCTAGAGTGTACAAAAACTTCCTCGTCACTGCATCCCTGCCAACTCTTGCTCTGTTTTGTCTTCTTGATAAAAGCCAGCGTTACTGCGGGGAAGTGAGGCCTCACTGTGGCTTTGGTTAGAATTTCTCAGTTGACGAGTGATGTGAAACTTCATTTCTTGTCCTTGTTGACCACTGGGATGTCTTCCTTTGAGAAATGTGTTTAGATAAAAAGGGAGCACTTTTAAATGTGTTATTTGAGGTATATTTTCCCATGGCCATGAATATTCTATGTATTAATCCCTTATCAAGGAGTTTTATGTTTATCTTGCAAATATTCTCTCCCAATCTCTAGGTTTTGTCTTGGTTGTTTAGTTAGATGGAATTTCATTTGTTTATTTTTTGCTTTTATTTCTTAGCCCATTGGGGTCTGATTTAGAAATTCCTTGTCTATTCTAATATCCTGAAATTTTTTTCCTATGTTTTCTCTAATAGTTGCAAGGATTTGAATCTCAGTTGTTGATATTTAATTCTTTTGAATTTTTTTGATGGCGATAAGAAATTTTAGTGTTGTTGTTCTTCATGTGGCTATCCAATTTTCCCCACGCTGTTTTTTTTTTTAAGACTATCCTTTTTCCAGTGTATGTTAGCATTATATGTATTATGTCAATTTGTTTACAGAGAACTTTTATTCCATGGGCTCTTTTCATGCTAATACCATGTTATTTTAATTGCTCTTACTTTGGAATATAATTTAAGGTGAGATAGCGTGGTCTCCTCTTTGTTCTTTTTGCTCAAGATGCTTGTGGCCACTCAAGGTCTTTTGTGCTCTCACACCAGTCATGTTTTTTTTTTCTGGTTTCATGAAAAATGTCATTGCAATTTTGATAAGAATTGTATTGAATCTAAGTTATGTTGGGCAGTATGCACATTTGAATGACACCGGCTGCCTTAATGCATGATTTGGGGATGTCCGTATGTATGAAATGTGTAGTGTTACAGAGGAGACATGTTCACAGCAGCATCGTGGTAGCAGCGAAGGGTCTCGGCGCCTGTGAGTGGAAAACTGTGATACTGAAAGTCAGAGGAATAGAGTTCTAGGTGTTAACATGGATGAATCTCAAAAATGGTAACGTTGAATGCAAAAGAAAGCTAAGTGCGGGAGAATTCATACATATAACATTCTAAAGGATGCACGATACTGTTTATAGTAAGCTTAGTATATTCCTGTGCAGAAATAGATCTGGATTGGCACTACCCCTGGCAAGGGTGGGGTGGGATGTGGAAAATACGTAATCAGGAATAGCTGGCAGTCTAGCTGTTATCAATAATTTATTTTTTAGGTTAGGTGGTGGTACATTGTACTTGCTCTATGATTCTTGATAACCATTTGCTCTCATAAGTGTTTCAAATCATTTTTTAATGTTCAGCGAAATAGCTATGGTATGAAAAATTTAAGATATGGGAGGTATCTCGTTTGCAATATACAGAAGAAAGATGACAACTAGAAAACCAAGAAACAAAAATTAGTACCAAGAAGGAAAGTCTGTGATAGCCAAGTAATGTTCAAGATTTTACCATAATCACAGAATTTTGGTGGCTTCCATTTCAGAAATGTGAAAGATTTAGAGTTGTACAGTTGAAAGTAAATGTTCAATGTGACCTTATCAGAGTCCAGGTGAGAGGTGAAAGTGGAGAAGGGAGTGCAAGGTCCCAGAAACTGTCCCTGTGCTCCTTGGAGAGAGAGGGAGCAGAAAGGTTCTCCGAAAATGTGAGCTGTTGTTTAACAAGAGAAAAATGGCAGCTCCATACGCTGTGGCCATTAGCTGCGTTGTAGTAATTGCTTCACAACGTGAGATTTAGTGTCAAAACATCAAGTTGTGCATTTTAATTAGGAAATTTTTATCAGGAATGCTTAAACTGTGTCTTTGTTGAGGGGGGGAGATCTTTACCAAAAAGAAAAATCAAGTATGTTATCAGAAGTAATCAATGAGAATGCAGACCGCAATATTGGGAGGCTAGAGAGTGCAGTCAAGTGTGTTCTATCTGGCGTGTCACAGTACATCAGTAGAGATTGTTCACGATGTATCACAGTGGTAGAAGAACGTTGTTTATGGGGGTGATGATAATTAACTGTCAGGAAAATTGCTCACATGTTAAGCAAAAATAAAGGTTCTTTTGGAACATCTGGATAGAGACATTGGGAAGGAATCAGTGCAGAGGCTAAGATGTGGAGTGCTGTACTGAAATGACGTTAAGGTTTTTGAATCCCAATATAGTTCCCATATAGAGTCTTCAGTCATTTCCCTCACTTTCTAAATGAAATACTAAGATACTAATTGCTGTGTAAAAAATGTGACAACTGTTGTGGTGCATATTTTTAATCTTGTTTCCAAAGGCTTAAGTGTGAGACATGCTGGCTAGCTGTTTGAGAAGGTTTCAGAGGGTCTCTCATTTCACAGGGATTTTAGTCTCACATGTCAAATTTGAGAGAGTGGATGTCAGCCTGAGTCACGCATGCTGAAAATAGAGTTTATAATGGCAATGCGGGCGGAATTCCTTGCTATTGTGTAACATTGGGAACAGCGACACTATAATTAAGTGATCATAAAAATGGAATGGATCTTTTTTCCATTAGACAGTCGTCTTCTCCGGTTAGAGAAAGACTCCTTAAGTGGAGGCAAAGCAAAGCAATTATTTTTAAAAACTGGGCTGAGGTTTTCCCCTCCCCTTCGTGAACACAGCGCTGTGCAGTGTGCAGACAAGGTTAAAAGCCGCACGGAAGGGCACATGTGGGAAGTGTCAAGTAGTAAGTGTCGTGTAACCATCTGGTTTTAGTGGATCTGTATCTGGTTTTACACGGAGAAGGTCCCCTCTTGGTTTCCCATTGAGAGTTCAAAACTATGGTTTGGGGTTTGTTTTTAATATTGATTTATTTTTATTTGAAAGGCAGATTTTATGCAAAGAGAAGGAGAGACAGAAAGGTATTCATTCCATCCACTGGTTCTCTCCCCAAATGGCCATGATGACTAGAACTTGGGCTGTGTGAAGCCAGGAGCCAGGAGCTTCTAACAGCTTTGCTGTGGAGGTGCAGAGACAGAAGGAGTTGAACCATTCTTTGCTGCCCTCCCAGTTGCCTTAGCAGGGAGCTGGATCAGAAGTGGGGCAGCCAGAAGCAAACCCAACCAGAGACTATATGGGAAGCCAGCAACAGGATGGAGGGTTCGCTTGCTTAACACCAAGGCAGCACCAGTGCCAGGGTTTTTAAGTTCCATTTTGATAGTGTATGTCTTTAATTTAAAATGTACCTTTTTCCTGCACCGAAATTACTTAGAAGTGCCACCCACTATTCTCAGAAGAGTGCCTTTGACAAGGAACAACAGGATAGAAACTGCCAATCTCTCAGTTCCCCAGAACATCCATGTTCTGAATCTGACACGTTTCCTTCTGAAACAGAAAGGCAGAGCTTTCCTTGTAGTATCTGATTTTTAAATTTTCAATTTTGTCACTGGTTCATTCTGCTTTACCTTTTAGGTTTAGTTAATATTTATGAGAAATAATAAGTTTTGTGTCTGTTACAATTATTAAGTGCATCAAATTCCCCACTAATCTGATGAAAATTCAAAATTAAAGAAAAGTGCATTTGGGAAGTCTTCTCTTACCTTTAGGGGATATGTCCCATCATTCCCAGAGGGTGCCTGAAGCTGTAGGTGTAGGTGGTACTAAACCTTGCACTTCCATGGCCCTTCCATCTTCACAAAGTGCTGTCCATGAACCGTGGCTCTCACTCTTCCAGTATGATGTGTGACTATGAAAATTAGCACATATTTCTTTTTTCTTTCTTACCCCTACACCAATAGATTCATTCATGGCAGCTTTCTCATATAATTTTTTTTTCTTTGCTCAACTTCCATTTTCACTTAAGGAGGCACTTAATGGCTGCTCTTTAGTGTATTCCAATTGCCCACATTACCACTCTTGTGAATTGTGGCCATTACCGAGTAAGGGTGGCGTGAGCACCAGAGCTGCGGTAGTGCCTCTGATGCTGTCTGGGAGATCTACTTGCTGTGTTTGAGCACTGCAGTTTGAGTTCAGACTC